TAACTGATGCTCAAGTATGGTTAGATAAAAATTTTCCTCATGATGGTGCAAGTAATCTTTCAAGTTATGAAGGTAAAAAGAGAGAAGACATAACTGAGTTAAATATCAGAGGTAGACTCCTCGGAGGTTCCTTAAAGTTAGAAGGTTTCAATAATTTAGAAGAGATGCGTTGTGACAATAATTACCTAACTGATATAAAGTCACTATTGTCTGAGTTGAATCCAGAAAAAATAAAGACTCTGTATTTATATGACAATAATTTTTCAGAAAGTGATTTGACTCCTTTTGAGAAGTTTGTTAACTTAGAAACATTAATCATCTCCGGTAATTTTTTTAGAGAAGATTATGAAGAGGGTATTGCCAACCGTTTTGTTGGATCACTTCAACCATTGCGAAGATTAACTAAATTAAAACAATTGTTCATTAATAATACAGATATTGACAGAGGTTTAGAATATTTACCAGAGGATTTAGAAAGTTTGTATTGTGGAGATTGGTATTGAATCAAAACAAGACCAGGAGCAAAAGTGGAAAAAATCTCTGCTCAACTTAGTGATTATGGGTCGGATGGTAACTATAATCTCTTAGATTGAAAAAGAAATAAAAGATGGCAAGACAAATTTGATAACAGTGAATTTGCACGCGAATTTAAGGAATGAACAAGTGCTGGTTTAAGGTCAAATGAAGTAGATTTTGCCGCTTACTTGGAAACTAAAAAAGTTTATAGTCCTTCAGACATTAATGAAAAAGACAAAAAAGAAGAAAAATTAAAAGAATATCATCAGGCGGAAACCTGATTAAATTTTAATTACCCTACTAACGAAAGAGACAAAATAGAAAGGTTGAATATTGCTGATAAAGGTTTAGAGGGATCTTTGGATCTGAGCGTTTTCAAAAGTTTAACAGACTTGAATTGTTCAAAAAATCAAATCACTAGTCTAGATTTAACTGGATTAATTAAACTAGAAAACCTTTCTTGTAATGATAATCTTATAGAAGAGTTTGATCTTACTTCTTTAAATCCTGAAAAACTTACTAGTCTAAACATAAAAAATAATAATTTATCTGAACAAAATATAAAAATTTTTGATGAATTCACTAAATTAAAACAATTATCGATTGGTAATGATAATAAGGAAAAAATTGATAAAGGTGAATATAATCACTTTTCTGGCTCACTAAGTTCTTTAAAAGGACTAACTGATTTAGAAAATTTATATATTTCTAATACTGATATTGACGAGATTGATATTGAAAAATTACCTAAAAATTTAAGTATAGGTAAAACTTATTGCTCTACGGAAGAAAGACCAAAAAGCAAAGTAGAAAAAATTCAAGCAAAGTTATATTCTCATCTTACCAAAAAATACTTAAATGAGATGTATCCTGATAAGTCTGCTAAAGTATTAGACAATCTTTATTCAAAAGGATTAAAAGACCATTTAGATTTAAGTAATTATAAGGACTTAGAAGTGTTAGATTGTCATGATAATCAACTAACTAGTATAGATATCAGTAAAAACACTAAACTCAAAAAACTTAATTGTTCTAAAAATAAATTAAAGGGGATTGATTTTGAAAAAAGTATTGAGTTAGAAGAATTGAAATGTGATAATAATAAATTAGGAGGATTAAACTTAACAGGCAAAAATATTAAACTTAAAAGACTTTCTTGTCGCAGTAACAAGTTAAAAAAAATTAATCTTGATAATAACATTAATTTAGAGGAACTAAATTGCAGTAGTAATGAATTAGAAAGACTAGATGTAAGAAAAAATAATCAGTTGATTGAACTAGACTGTTCTAATAATAGGTTAGATGCTTTGGAATTAACTGGTTGTTCCGAGTTATCTAAAATCAACTGCTCTGATAATAAAATTGAGAAATTGGATCTTCAAGAATTATCCAATTTAATTAGTCTCGATTGTGAAAAAAATAAATTAGAAAATCTGGAAGGTACTGAATATTGCGACAAATTGTCTTCTCTAGAATTTGAAAAAAATGATCATTTGAAATCAGACTTACTAAATAAAATAGTTAAAATAAACAGTTTAAAGGGAAAATGAAAAAAGAAAGATGCTAATAATTGATTAGATAAGGAGTACCCCAAAGGTGATAAATGTCGGGGAGTTTTTGACTGAGAAAACAAAGGTAAAAAAAAGGGAAGAAGTTAAGGAATTAGATATTAGCGGTGAGGAATTAACTGGGAATTTAGAATTAAATGGATTTAGTTCTTTAAAACATTTAATTTGTTGTGACAACCAACTGGAGAGTATTGACCTAAGTGATTGTAAGCAATTAGAAATTATCGACTGTAAAAGGAATAAATTGAAAGAACTAACATTTAGCAATGATTTTGTTTTAGGACTAAAAGAATTTCGTGGTTCCGACAATGAATTTAAAAAACTAGAAAGTATTATTGGTCATATAGATTCTGAAGTTTTAAATTATTTCGATATTAATAACATCAATATTTCCGATTGCGATATAAGTGATTTTGCTAAATTTAAAAAACTAGAAAGACTGTTTATTGGCAGTAATGATGAAGGCAAAAAAAATGTCTTCGCTGGTTCCTTAGAAAGTTTAAAAGAACTAGACAAATTGCTCGAAATTGATATTCGTAACAACGGTATTGAGATTAAGGATTTTCTAAAAAAACTAAAAGAAAATGAGTCATGACTAAAAAGTTTAGAGAAAATATATCACATTGAAAGGAAAGATGATGAAGAAAAAAACAAATTTAAGGATTATGGGCAGAAAAATGATAATAAACATTGTTACGTTGAAGAAAACAAGTTTTATGATATTAAAGCCTTACGAAGAAGCAAAGAGGCATCAGATGATGTCGAAATAAAAGTGATACTAAGAACTCCACTTCTGTCAGCAGACAAAAAAAATAAAACGGACGCAATCAAAGATGATTATGATGCTAAAGTGGTAGATTATTTTGAAAGTGGTAAATTAATTTATCCTTCCGAAAAAGAGACCGGATTTAAATGGGAAACTGGTGAAAAATTATTATCGAGTAATTTGCCACTTAGATTGTGTTACTTTAGTAGTGAAGATAGTGAAGACAATGAAAATAAAAACCCAAAAATCGAAATAAAAAGAAGAGTGGAGTGTGATAACGATGCCAAACATTATGCTATTTTATCCTACTCTTGGGGTGGTAAGCATAAGGAAGAAATAAAATGAAGTCCAGAGGAAGCTGAAAAAAGACTTAGTCTGGGTGGAATAAAATCTTTAGACAAAGCAATTAAAACTCTACGAGTTCTTAATGAATTCCATGGTTTAAGTATAAAAGGAAAGGAGATTAGATACCTCTGGATGGATCAGTTATGTGTTAATCAGGACAATCCTAAGGAAAAGGGTCACGAAGTTTCAAAAATGAGAGATTACTATGGTAATGCTACGGTAACGTTGATAGCAATCCATGCTGAGGTTGGAGAAAAAAACATTAGAAAATTAAGTAAATCCTTTGAAAAAGGAAAAAGCAGGCTTATCTATCCCAATGAAATAATTAAAAATTCTTTGCCCATATTGGAAAAAATAATTAAATCAGAGTGATTCTCTCGTTCTTGAACTTTTCAAGAAGGCTTTTTGTCTAAAAGAACCATTTTTATGTTCGATGACTTTTTAATTGATGGAAGGTTTATAGCTTTAATTTGGAAACTTAAGCAATTTTCCTCAACTCATTACGAAGAATGTAGGTGAACAAAAGATTTATGTGGAGAAAAGGCTGCTACTCCTGTAGGATGGATATATTATGAAGGTGAGGATAAAAAAGGGTATAGTTTGGGAGATAAAGCCTCACTTAGGCTAAATGAGGCTTTATGAGCAGTAAAAGATAGAGGTAGAGCACTTCCTATTGATGGCATCTATTCAATAATT